GGGGCCGGGCGGGAATTTAGGGTTTAGGGTTTAAGGTTTAGGGTTTAGGGTTAAAGGCCCTCAGAGATTTCAAAACATGGGTAGTTTTCAAAATTAGGGTACCTTTTTGGGTCCCCAATATAGTACGGCACTCTTATAAAAAGGACCTTGAAAGGGACCCTAATTCAGAGAACTACCCACTTGCAACCTAAACCCTAAACCCATAACTCACACACCGTCAACCCTAAACCCATAGCTTAAAACCCCAAGCCCTAAACCCATAGCTTACAAGCCGTAAGCCCTAAACCCTACCTCATCTTGAATCCCAGGCCACTTCTCTCAGAAGGCCCGACCCTCCCCTCTAAGAAGCGACCATGTTTCATGTTGGCGAGTTGCGGAGTTGATGGCCAAGACTTCTTGGGGAGTCCATGGCTGGGTGCTTCCGAGGCTACCAGTATCGATTCGGGGCTTAAGGCCCCCTGGGTCACGATTTTTCGGGGCCAAATTGAGCAGAGGAGGATTGCTGTTCTGGCCCGTGTTGGTGGGATGCTGGTCAGCAGGGCGTCGTTTCGAGGCTACGTTTATGTCGTATGCTGCCCTCGTCTCTCCGCCAGCCTTGGCATTGATGCTGGTGTAGAGAGCCTCGCAAGACGCAGCCACTTGCAAGGGCCATCCTATACTGAACTCTCCAGGCATGGTCAACTCGAGACTGCCCTAGACTGCCAAAACCTAAACCCCAAACCCTAAACCCTAAACCCTAAACTACCAAACCCTAAACCCTAAACCCTAAACCCTAAACCGGCAACCCTAAAACCCTAAACCCAAAGCCCTTGCGCTGGAAACGCGACGCTGGACTCCCTGACCTTCAAGTGCCAGGACGAAAAAGCAAAGGTCCTAGAGTTTTGCCAACTCTCACTTGGAGGTTCATGGGTAGTTATAGGGCTCCTTTAAGGGATCTATAAGGGGGTCCTATAAGGGGTCTATAAGGGGTCATACTTGGAGGTTCATGGGCAGTTATAAGTAGGGTTGTAAGCAGGATCACTATAGCTATAACCCATATTGGGGGGGACTTATAACCCCACTTATAACTACCCATGAACCTCCAATATTAGGGGACTTATAACCCCACTTATAACTACCCATGAACCTCCAAGCACCCCTCGCCTTCCATCGCCCTTACGCGGGCTAAGAGCTGGCAAGATGGCAGCCAAGGTAATGCAGGGGCCTATTTGTTTAAATAAGGCTTTTGGGGCGCCCTTGTAGTATATTTATGGTAAGTAACCCTAACTGAAGTCACTAACAGTAGTATTGGTAGTTATTTAGGCTTCTATATTACAGCATAGGAGTTGGGGCCTAGGGTAATGGGTATCTAGAGACCCAAGTCGTAGCATGGAAGCCCAAATCCGCCATTTTGAACTGTGCTAAGAGTTTGGCTGCAAGGATGCTACCTGTGACCCAGACAAGGGCTTCATATTAATAGGGGTCTTAATAATTACCTATACTATTTTGGGGTTCCTTATTATGGTTGTAGTATAATATACCCCAAAACCCTATTCTAATTATCCGGCTCGCAGTGTGGGCAGTTTGGGGCTCCACGGTAAAGGAACAAGGGTCTAGGGGTTTAAGGTTATGGAGGCCTGAACAAGTAGATATCATTATAGTCACATGCCCTAGTTGGGGTCTCGGATCCTTCGGGGCTTAGGATTCTTGGGGGCCCCTTGGATGAGAGAATGCGATTCGGCACAAGGCCAGTTGGCAAGCCCCTAAACCCTAAACCCTAAACCCTAAACCCTAAACCCTAAACCCTAAACCCTAAACCCTAAAATACCCTCTTCAAAATCCTAGTGCCAGAATCGGTAGACCCTGATCTCCAAACCCCAAGAAGCCCTGAGGGAACAAAGGCCGAACCGCTAAACTAGGGCCTGATGCTTTAGGGCTTAGAGGGTTTAGGGTGTAGGGTTGACGGTTTAGGGTTTAGGAAACCCCAAACCCTAAACCCTAACCCCTAAACCCCTACCCGAAACCCTAATCCCTAAACCCCAAACCCCAAACCCTAAACCCTAAACCCGAAACCCCAAATCCCTAATCCCTTAACCCTAAACCCTAATCCCTAAACCCCAAACCCTAAACCCTAAACCCTAAACCCTAAACCCCAAACCCTAAACCCTAAACCCCCAAACCCTTTTAGAAAAAAAGAAGACAGACATCCCCAGGCCTCGAGTCGCTGCAACGCATCCGCAGGAAGCTTGGAGAAGTCGTAGTCCTGGCTTTGGGCTTTAAGGATCTTAGGGTTTAGGATTTAGGGTTTGGGGCTTTAAGGATCTTTGGGTTTAGGGTTTAGGGTTTAGGGTTTAAGGATCTTTGGGTTTAGGGTTTAGGGTTTAGGGTTTAGGGCTTTAAGGATCTTAGGGTTTAGGGTTTAGGGTTTAGGGCTTAGGGTTTAGGGCTTTAAGGATCTTTGGGTTTAGGGTTTAGGGTTTAGGGCTTTAAGTATCTTTGGGTTTAGGGTTTAGGGATTTAGGGATTTAGGGTTTAGGGGTGTAGGGTTTAGGGTTTAGGGTTTAGGGCTTTAAGGATCTTAGGGTTTAGGGTTTAGGGTTTAGGGCTTTAAGGATCTTGGGGTTTAGGGTTTAGGGTTTAGGGTTTAGGGCTTTAAGGATCTTAGGGTTTAGG